TTCCTTTTTTTCCTGTTTTTCCTGTTTGTCATGTTTTTCCTGTTTTTCATGTTTATCACTAGCCATATCCCAACGAGTGATTGTTCCATCTTGATCACCAATTAATAGTTCTGTCTGTATGAGTATAAATAATAAAATATTTATTTATTTGTTAATATAAATCAAACCTGATTAGGATGAAGTGTAACACAATTAATAGCACCATCAACATCAGTTTGTCGATGAGCTTTTGTTTTTGCCGCTCTATCATTTATATATAATTTATCTTATAAAAAATAATTAATTTATATTACAAACCTCATATCCCAAATTCTTACAAAACGATCTTCTCCGCCTGAAAACATAAATTGTCTATCATCACTAAATCCTAATGTAACTATATTTTTCTGTAATTGATCTAATTTCATTACTGGATTTGGATTATTTGACATTAAATCATACATTTTTATATGTTGATAACTACCAGCTGCTAATAAAGTTTTTTGTGGATGTATTGCCAAACAATTTGTTGGCTAAAGATAATATGTAAAACAGATTTTGTTTTTTATATTAAATTTCAATTTTATTCTTACAGAATCTTCATGCATTATTGTTCGATAAACAGCTGCAGTATTAGCTTGCCAAAACCGTATTGTTCGATCATAACCAGCAGTTACTAATAAAATATTATCACTATTTAATGACATTGGTTTCAATGATAAGTTAATTCTAATATTTTTCTTTTATTATTATCTAAAATTATTTATTTTTATATTAATAAACTCAGCAAATAAATTATTTTCTATTTAGATGTATCACTGTATACAATAAGATGACTTCTTCTTTTATTCTATAAGCAAATAAAACTTTATTTATTACTGAATAACGTGAGAAAACAGAAATATTGTAGTTTTTACTTTGAAAAATGATTCATTTTATTTTGACTTGTCGTCAATTAGTCAATAAATAGAAAAAGAGCATCTAATCAATTCAATGACATTTGTCATCTATAGACAAGACTGCGTGCATTATCGACTGCATTAAGTGATAAGAGTGCAATTGAAGTGGATTAGTGTCACTAGAAATAATAATCGATCTGACTCTTTTAGATCGATCAGTGGATCACTTTACTCATGAAAGCTTTTGTTACTGTTCAAGAAGTTCGAGTGCCTACGAATGCATCTGGTATTTTTTATTTAATAAGTAATTTGATTTGCCTCTCATACTGTGTTTTCCAAGCACAAAAAATACTCTTAATAGTATTAGAATCTTTGATGATGTAAAATCTTTAAAGTTATCAATTTCTATTTGTATCAGATAGGCAACACTTTTGATTCATAAGCATGTATTTAATTCTGGTTTTCGAATTGACTTGAGTATTGTTACTTCAAGAAACTTACCCTTGTTAATCGTAAGGAACAGAAAACATGTTGAAATTGGTCTTTCAAAAGGAAAGAATGTTTAGTCCTACCATAAGTTAAGCATACTGGTATTTTTGAGGTATGATCTTAACGGTGACAACTAGAACACATCGAAATGAATTTTCTGAGAAACCAATCTCATAAAAATTCAGTTTTCCGAATTGGAACAAAAATAAACTTAGCTGGTAGCGTCGAGTTGTCCGCGATGTTTCTGCAATTCATTCTCAAAAGAGATTCAATTTTTGTATAAGCAAAGTTCATGCGGAAAAATTGAAAACATAGATTGAAGACTGCTTAGAATAGATTCACTTAATATCCCGCACTACTACCTAATAGAGTTTTGTAACTATATAAAATTTAATGAAGGGTACTTAATATTTATTGAGATTGCCTTTTTTCTGATATTTTTCATCGGAATGTGTATCGAGTCCGGAGCGGTACTTAAAAAATTTGAGGTACTATTTAATGATTTAGTCCATTTTCGCCGAAGACGAATTTCGCCGAAAAGAAAATTTCACCGAAGGAAATTCGCCGAAAAAAAGTTCACCGATTCTATTTTCGCCGAAAGAATTCGGTCACCGAAAACAA